GCAGCGTTCTGCTCTTTCTTCTTCATTCTGCTTCTCTCGTGACTGCTACGAACGTTCTCGTACTCCGCTTTAAACCCCTTTTCTCCTTCCTTCTTCCCTGTTTTGCTTCTCTCCGTTTGGTTTTCAGTGTATCTTCAGTGTTTTTTCACTGGGATCCACTTGTCAGCTGCTCCCTACAATGGCTGGGATCGACCTAAATCAGGGAGCACCCCCTCTGCATGACTTCTTCGCGGCGCTCAAGACGAAGGACATGCACGACAAGGACAAGATCAAGCTGCTGCATGGGACAATCCGAACTTCAACAGGAACTTCGACCCGAATGCTTTCGCCAACATGCCTGGCCAAGGTCTTCCGCCTGTGAATCCTTTCGCCTTCTGGACCAACCTCTTCCAGAATGCTCCTCAGTTCCCTGGTTTTGGTGGTGGTTTTGCGCAGCAAGCTCCTCAGCATCAGCAGGCTCCCCACGCTCAGCAGCATGCACAGCATGCACCTTTCCAGCAGGACCTTCCGCAGCAGGCTCCTCCTCAGGATGATGCTCAGCAACAGGCAAACCCTATGGCTGCAATGTTCGATGTGTTCACTTCCACTGTGCGAGACTTGAAGTCTGAACTGTCCAACATCAAGGAGAAGATTGAGACCTCCGTGCATGACGCTATTTCTGGGAGCTTTGAGCACAAGAAACGGAAGGCGGACAAGTTCAAGAACGAGGCAGCCAAGAAGAACTATATTCCGCTCGAGGAGTCGCACATCAGGTTCTCCGCAATCAAGGAGGCTGTCACTGAGGCCAAGGAGAGCGGCATTGGCATGGCGCCTGAGCAAGTGGACAAGATGGACGACATCCTGGACGAAGGTTTGTCTATCCTCCAAGACCGCATGCATTTCTATGAAATTGCTGAGGCTGAGACATGGGATGTCGCGAAGAAGATGGACGAACATGACTTCCTGCTCGATCTCCCTGATGATGTGAAGACGAAACTCAAGAAGGCCAAGAAAGAGGTCAAGTCTGAAGTCAAGGACAAGTCCATCAAGAAGAAGCGCAACTCGTTTGGCTTCGGTCAGTTCCGTGGCAGGAAAGGTGGTTTCTCCAAGGGTTTCCAAGGTGGCTTCCAGCAGGGTGGTTTCCAGGGTCGTGGTTTCCAGCAGGCAGGACAGGGAGGTGGTCTTAGAGGTCCTTGCTTCTCATGCCATCAGTATGGCCATCTCAATGCAGAGTGTCCTAACAAGGCTGCAGCAGTTTTGCAAGCAGGAAGAGCAAATGCAGGCACTGACTCTTTGCATAAGAACATTCTGCGCATGCGCGCTTCTCAGTCTGCGGGCTGCCTGGTCCTATAAACCAGAGGGAAATCCCTGTTTCCTAGGTTCGGGTGAACCGATAGCCTTCAGTACAAGGCTCTCTTCTTCTTCTTCCATCTGTCAGCGTCATTGCTTGCATGCTTTGTCCTCATGCATCGTCCTGGTGGTTCGATCATTGCTTCTCTCTGCAGTTTGTCTGAGTACTTAGTTGCTCACTCCTTTGTTTCTTCTGCAGCTGAGTTGGAGTCTTTGCATCGTCTTGCCGATCTCACTGAAGCAGCTGAGTTCGAAGGTTTCCGATCTGCCAAGTCTGCGAAGCCTCCTTCCACTTCTGGCCAACCCTCTGTGCCAAGACTCCTTCCACTTCTGGCCAACCCTCTGCTGCAAGACTGAACCATGGCTCCGTAACCGTCTCCACCAGCATCTTGTTTTCTGGCGTACTTTCTGTACTTCTGCCTTTGTCATCAGCATTATCTCCTCGGGTTATCAGCTTCCTTGGTCTACGACTCCTCCAGTTGGACCCCGGGTGTTCTCTAACCACCCTTCTGCGTATGAGTATCCTGACTTTGTCTCAGAGGCTGTTGCTTCCCTCGTAGCCTCCGGTGCTGCTCTCCAGGTCGCCCATAGACCATTTATAGTCAGCCCTCTAGGTGTAGTCCCTAAAGCTCTTGGCAAGCTTCGCCTGATCCTGGATCTTCGCTATGTGAACAGTTTCCTGCATGTGGATAAGTTTAAGTATGAATCCATTCGCGAGGCTAGTTCCCTCTGCAAACTTCGTGATTACCTGTTTAGTGTCGATCTCAAGTCAGGTTATCACCACGTGGACATTCACCAGGACTTTTGGGAGTACCTCGGTTTTCAGTGGGAGGGAAAGTACTACGTTTTCTGTCAACTTCCCTTTGGTCTCGCTACCGCCTGTTTCGTTTTCACCAAGCTTATCAAGCAGCTAGTGCAACGTTGGCGTAGCTTAGGTATACGCTGTATTCCCTATATCGATGATTTTCTTTTCATCACTAGCTCTGCAGCTGAGTTCGCTCAGGTCCAAGCTCAGGTCTTAGGCGATTTTGCTCGTGCGGGTTTCGTCCTCTCTGCTGAAAAGTGCCAGCTCCAACTTAGCCACGTGGTTAAGTTTTTAGGGTTTGTAATCGATACGCTTAACGGCGTCTTCCGCTTGACAGCGCTTCAGAAAAGCAAGCTTCAGGAAGCTATCGCATCAGCTTTGTCTTCCCCTAACCGCGTCCCTGCTAAGCTGTTAGCACGCATCACAGGCCTGCTCGCATCGATGAAGTTAGTTACTGGATCGGTCTCTGGCCTGTTTACACGCTATCTCCACAGAGCTCTGAATACTCGCACTTCCTGGCGCTCGCACGTCTCTTTAGATACTGCTGCACTCTCAGAGCTGTCCTTCTGGACGTCTTCTCTTGATCAGTTCTCTGCTAGAGCGATTTGGCGGCAGTTTTCTCTGGTCATCGTTCTCCAGTATGATGCCGGTGCGGATGGCTGGGGTGGCCACGTGACCATTGGTGGTCAACAGCATTTTGCGCATGGCGCCTGGGCTCCCGATGAGGTCCACGGGCGCCGTTCTTCGACTTGGCGTGAACTTCAGGGCCTTCATCGCCTTCTCTGTTCTGTCGGGCATCTGC